GTGAGGGCGGTGGACACACTGGCGACATCCCCGCAACGGTCCTCATCCCTGCCTGTGTCGACGTTGTCCGTGGGCACAAATCCCCACTGACCGGTGGGCCGGTTTATGTTATCGGTGCAGGTGCCGTCTACGACGGACGCAGCCTAGCAGCAAATCTCTCGTGGGGTGCTGAGGCTGTGTGGGTCGGCACGCGCTTCGTCGCGAGCGTGGAAGCGGGCGCGCCCAAAGCGCACAAAGAGGCTGTTCTCAGCGCGGGATACGAGGACGCGATAACTACGCTGATTTATACCGGCCGGCCGCTCCGCGTGCGGCGCACGCCGTACGTTGAGGACTGGAACAGCAACCGTCAGCAGGAGATCAAGGAACTCACGAGCAAGGGTATCCTCCCGCATGATCATGAGCTCGAGAAGCACCCTGAGAAGTCTCTTGAGGGTCGCACGTTCCTTATCGGACGGGTCTCTGCGCTCATTGATGAAGTCCTTCCCGCCAAGACTATCGTCGAGAACATGGTCAACGACGCAGCGAGAATCATTCAGTCGAATGCGGCAAAGACAAAGGTGCAGGCTAAGCTGTAGGTAACATGAACCTGATTTGCGCATGTTGAAATCTACGCATGAAGAATCGGATGTTTTATTGCATTAATGTTCGTTTGCTAGCTTGACACTGTATACCTAAGTCTGATACATATCTCGACTATACCCTTTGATAGCTGATTGACCGGGTACGAATGAGCCGTAGAGACACCGCAGCATTATCTGCTGCAGACAGTCATGTCAAAAGCACGCGGAGGTTGTGTTCATATGCAAGTTATCGTCATGTGTCGACGAGGGTGTTATCAGGGCTAGGACCCTGAATTAGCTAATATACAACTCAACATCTTGAGTCTCACGGATAGCTAATGAGTATAATGGTCGCCGAGAGTTATCTACGTAACATCCAATTCACGTCGACGCTCTGAACGAGGTATAGCGTATTATATGGCCCACTGCAGTCGGGTGACCTTAACCTGAGGATTCGAACCAACGCTCACGTGATCTATCTGAGGTCGCGTCTCCCCATTCTGAGTGCGAGCGCTCGCATTTCCCGAAACCCCCTTGCTGTGGCCAGCTCGCTTTCTCTTGCTTTGCGACTGGGGTCCCCGCGACATCGCGCGTACATAGCCTTTTCGCCGGTCCCTAGACTTATGCTGTGACGGATAAGCCAGACCACTGGACGTAGACAGGTGCGCCCGTTCGACCGCAGCTCGAGTTTCCTAATCTGAAGAGTTGCAACGGAAGAATACCACCATGGGTGCGATACTCGAAACCCCGTCGCGCGTATGGCGGAGAATACAAGACATTGAGGGACAGGAGATGCCCTCTCTGCCTTCGATACCCGTCATGGAAGACTTGACAGAAATGCACTCAGAAACGACCGACGACCTGGATGCCTCTCGCATGTCGAACCCTATCACGTCGACGCCGGCAGCTTTCAGCTCGCACCACAATACTGTGTCCACGATCAAGCCTTCACTTACGCTGGGCACGGGCAGTACCGCGAGATTTGCGAACTCCATAGAGTCACGATCCTCCAAATCTATGACAGGGATGAGTGCGAGTGGGTCGAAGAGCGGCTTGTCTAAGCAGCAACTTGTAAAACAGCAACCACAGCAGTACAGTTTCGACATGAGTATGATTCCTTCTCTTCCTCAGCCCCATGACGACATGGAGATCCGGAGTAGCGACCAAGATACCCACGATTCCGTCGCCGATGCCTACTTCCCTCCTGCGGACGCCGGGGCGGAAGACGACTTTAACATTTCGGAGGCGTTGCAGTCAGTAAGTAGGTCGGGGTCACCTGTAGAACCGATTGCGCCTACACCACGGAAGAATTATGACTACTCGGTCAGTCTCAGGTCGGAACCCAAGGTGAGTTTTTTCTGCAGCTCTGGGATCGCTCGAGTAAGACAAGTATTTTCCAGCCTTCTCCCTTCGATAAGCTGCGCAACGTTTCTTTACGACGTCCTTTATCCCGCAATACACGCACACCCAGTCTCACACGCACCAACACGCCCTCACCATCATCCTCCACTTCGAACTCTACCCCTCACGACACCCAGTCCTTGCCATCCAACCCTGTGTCACCTATTCCTGCGCCATCTGCTCCACTTCCACGCTCGAATACTGCGTCCCCGATGCTTGCACGACAGGCTTCCGCATCAGCTATGCCCGCTCGTTTCATTCCGTTGCCACCTTCCACGAATACATCGCCTGTGACGGCAATTCCTTTGAGACAAAGGGCATATGAGCAAGCTACGGACAACGAGATAGCATCGCCATCAAGGTCCTTGCCTCAGGCAGAATTTACTCAAATAACTGAAGCGCACACCGAACAAGCGAGCAGTGTAGCTGAGACTGACGAACGAGAGCCAACGTTTTCGTCTGAAGAGGGCCCGACGCCTTTCGGTCGCAGTGCTTCACATGGCCCAAACCAGTTCCAACAGAGCCGCGCATCTCCTGTGATCTCTGTTGCGTTTTCCTCACCTGCGCCTTCTGCCATGTTCACTCCGACACCTGCGTTCCCTCGTCCCCGTGCGCGTTTCCAGCTTCCACCAGCTCGGCCTCCAACCAGCACAACTCCACCAGACCCACTCAGCAGTTCTGAACAAGGCGGTACCCACGAAGACCAGGACGAGGCTACCTGGCGGGCGGGCGATCACCGCGAAGATCCTGCGACACCTAATGCTCACAAACGCTCCTTTCTCTTGTCCGTTATCAATTCGACTGCGCGCCCTCGCCTCAAGCACCCCACTCCTCACCCTCATCACGTCGGAAACGATGTCCCCGAGACGCCAGCGGCCGCATTGCCGGCTGCCTTCGCTGGTATCACACCAGGCCTCCACGCACATCTATCCATGCACTCACGTTTTTCCCACCCGTTAGCTCAAACCTGGACTGCACAAGCACAGTCAGACTCTAGTAGCGAAGAAGTAC